TATGTCCCAATTGCAGGTGGCCAAGCATGAGCTGCCCGGTCCAGCAGGAGGAAAGGGGACCCTTCTTTGTGCCACCTGAAGGAGCTCAGAGTTCGGGCACAATTTTGGTATTTAGACTCATTTTTGAACACTCTTGTTCCTTTGGAATGGCTTTCCTCCCACCCAAATACTTTGTTGTCTGTTTTGCCCGTCTCAGCTGTATTCCAGGCACGCTCCCCTTGTAGCCCTCCTCGTGAGGCTTTTTGGGCTTCTGGCCCACATAGAAATAAGTACTTTTTTTTTGAAATAGAGAGGTTCACTTCCATCCCTTCCCTCTGCCAGTTTGCTTACACCTGATCTCCCCGGTCATCTTTGCAGCATTACACTCTCCCCCGACAGGTTTCTTGTTCACACATTCCTGCAAGGCTGTACATGTTTTGTCACCCTTCATTTTCGGCGCTTTCTTTTATTTCCCTCCTTTTCCTCTGCTTATTTTAATTGTGCTCTTACTTCATATGCAATTCTGTTTCTCTGCATCAGAAATATTTTAACTTCTTGTTTATCTGTTGTCTTTAAAACATTTAGCAAGGTTACATGACTTACCACATTTGCACTTTTTTTTGCTCTTATGTGCAAAACAACACTTTCATCTACATGTCAAATCAGTTTTCTTGATAAAGTAAAAAGTCTGAAGAACTCATTTCAGCCTACTGCGATGGCTACTCTGTCTTCCTGCCCAGGCAAGTGCTCATCCTGCAGTGTTCCAGGGTGTCCCTTTTCACAGGTGCTCTCAGATAGTCTCATGTTCCCTTTGCTAAAACCTCTTTTCCTGCAAATTGCCAACCCCAAGCTCTATTGCTATTTCAGCACTGTCATGTTAATATCTTAAAATCAGATATTTTTAAATGGTCCAGTCAAAGAGATTTGAGAGAAGAGTGAGTCATCTCAATGTTTTGAGCAGTGCCGCCAAATAACTATTTTCTTGGTAAGTGTATCTGTAACAAATGTGCATTCAGATACTTCCCTGTTGCATAAACTTAACGTATTTCTTGCGATTTGGAATCTGTCCTTAGTGCCAGTGGTTTCCTAGGTTACAAAAATACAGAACATGCTTTACAAATGGGAAAAACTTAATCATCTGAAGCAAATAGATTTTTTTTATCTTGTCCTTTAATAAGGCATCATCTGAGCATTGCTGCACAAGCACTAGAAGGGTTTTGAGTTATTAATATAGTTTCAAAAGAGAGAATGGAGGCAGCAGTTGACAGCAAGGGATTTATTCAGCAATTTTGCATTTGCAAACAACCCTACTCATGTTCTCCAAATTGAACATGTCATCCAGGTTTTTAATGCCTCTCCCCGTTGTATGCAATCACAAGATACTTTAGCGAATTTAATTATTTTGGAGAGTAGATTTAAATGACAGATTCAGATCCTTTGTTTTGATTTGGCTTTGACAAACTATTCCTGGGGCTTCTTTAATGTGTTGAAGTACTTCTCAATTTTTTATTAGAATTTAATTTTTGGCAAGTTAGCTCTTACCCTAGGTATTCTTACATTTTAGATAACTTAGATTCAATAAATGAGAGTGATTGTTCCTTTAAAACCCAAAAAGGAAAATAAAGGCTTTACTGTTTAAGTCATGTTTAAATTAATCATTTTTCTGGCTTCTAAAATCTAGCACTTAATGCTGTGGATCTCAGTGCAGAACAAGTGAACTTTAAGTGAAAAATCCATGTTGTTCCTGTTAGGGGACAATTGGAAACGTGATCAAGGCAGATGGCAAGCTATTTGGTTACACCTGCAATCTGCGAAGGCTTGCACAGAAATTAGGCAAAGAATATTTTTGTAATTGCCCTTTCAATGAACTTGCATGAATTTTTTTTTTTCTTCCACTTACTCAAAGGATGTTGATGACCTTATTTGGATTTACTAGATTATCCTATATTGAAATATTATGCCATTTATAGAGTTAATCCACTTGAGATAGAGTTAATCCATTTGAGCTGGACATGCCTGTGATTGCCCCCTACTCTCCCCTCCTCCCCATTTTTAACACTACGGTGCATCATTTGGAATTGAAATAGTCCATAATGGTTCTTTTTTTCACTTTTCTTTAACAACATGAACACTAAATTATAGCTGTGCAATTATGTAAACAATAGAAATGCTTCCAGAATGAACACTTCCTTTTAAATTTTCATTTTGTGTAATTGCTGAAAGGTTTGGGGCCATAATAAACCAAAATTATTTTACACATTTATCGTTCTAAAGGTCAATTATGGAAGAAGTAAAGGAACAACACTGTACCAAATGAGTAAACCAATTTCTATTGCCATCACCATATGTTTTTCTTATTGCTTGTGTTTTTCCAGTTACTGTGTACACAGCATTCAATTAAAGTGATTCATTTACTAGACTGTAAGCTGCTGAACACAGTTTACATTTATAGAGCAGGGCTTTGAGGGGAAGGAAACAACTTGCCTCTGTTTGAATTACCTGATTTTTGCAGGATGGCTGATAGCCCATATGTTCTCACTCGGTGCCTTTTGCATAAACCTGAAGCATTTGATAAACTTGCAATGCTACCAAAATGCTCCACGGAGCTGGGCTTCAGTTAGTTGTGGTGTCCTCAACATGGCCTTGCTGAGAAATAGGGGAAAACGCACCAAAATTCATCAGGAAAGGCCTTGGAAAGGGGTGGTTGCTTTCCAGCCTGCTCTGGATCTGTAACAGCAGGTTCTGAACTGGACTAATTAAGGTCACTAAAGCTCCCACAAATTGATTCTGGAGGGTCTCGGTGAAAAATGGGCATGGAAACTCCTGGAAAGCCAGGCTGGAGACAGGCTGTGACACTGCTCTTCCCCAACAGCTTCCTTCATGTCTGTGGTATCCCTAGAGCTTATGGGCTGTGTAGTAAATTCATATCTTTAAAACTTCATAACAAAAAAGGAAAAGGATTATTGAGAGTTATTTCAGTATCTTTCCAAAATAAGTGTTAAAAAACTTTTTCCTCTTTTTTTCAGAATGTAATTTATTTAGTAGCATTTCTTTTAAACAGCAAATAGGGTATTATGTGCAACCAAATTCCTAACAGTTTTTGGAATAAAAGTTTTGTTGCAGGTTATGTTGGATGTTAAAACGGTTATTTATGCTACACTAATTTCATATGTATTAATGGTTTAACATAATGGTTGTATAATGATTTTTTTTTCCTCCTGTTTTCTAACTGCTGTGTACGGTGTTTTTAATTAAGTAGTACCTACAGTTGTCTTGAATTCTGTGAAGGAGGCTACACTTGGGCTCCTGTGCAGGTACAGCTTTGCATCAAAACAAGCCCCCCAAAATAAGTGTTCATCCAGTCCTTGCAGACATTCGGTAGCTTCCCAGGTCCTTATTTTGGTGAGGTTTTCGGGTTTTTTGCCTGTAAAGGAGAGTGAGTGTTAGCTGTGCCCTGGACGGAGGGAAGTGCTGGAGGCCGGGCCCATTGGGCCCACACTGCTCCGCTGTGGCGCGGCCTGCGGTAATTACAGGTGTGCGGTGCCCAGGGGAGCCTGCGCGTTAATCAGCCGCTTAATTATAGCAAAGGGGCCTCTTTTGTTCTACCCAGCGCTGGAGTTTTCCACCCGCTTTACGAGCGGCTGCATCCATCTGCTCCCTCTTTTTGAATGTTTGCATTGACTGTTATTGACTTTAAAATGTATCAAAGGAAGTGATTAAAACTAGTTTAAACATTAACTCGAGTGGCGTTTTAGCTTATACAGGGAAGCGAAAGCATTATCTGGTACAATGTTAAAATTGAATGTTATTTATCTGGTAATATCTGAAATATATAACCCTGTTTATTATTTCATAAGATTTCGTGTTACTGCGGTAAATCTCCTTTAATAGAACAATAAATAGATTTTGTCCAGGTGTTAGCAGTGCTTAGAGAAAATACCAACATAATTAAAGCATATCTGCAAATGGAGAAAGGTGAATTTGATTTCTCTAGAAATGGACCATAAAGACACATTCTGGTGCAAGTGTTTTTTTTTTTTTTTTTTTTTTAACACATAAGAGCAGAAGAGTGATAGATGAACATGGAGGAGCTGTTTTCCTTCCCTTTGAAATTTTAATAAGAAGACAAATAAGTGTGAGCTCCATATAGAAATAATTTTGTAATATTGGAGTAGCGCTACGTGGATTTTATGCTGAACTTTCAACCTAATGCAACCATGTAGATGGGAAATCTCAACTCATCCAGAAGCTTTATGCTGCTCTGAAGACGCTGTGAGGAACTGAAGGACAGAAGATGTTCAAGTTGAAATACCCATCTCTCATGATGTGTATCAGAGCAATTAGGAGAGCAAAGATGGGATTAGTAGTTATTCTTACAGGTATATTGCTTCTCCTTTAAAAAAAGCATGTTCTTTAAAGAGTGAATAAACATCTTTTGCCCCTAAGGCTTATCTGTATTTGTTATTTAGAAGAGGGTTACATAATAATTAATCCAGGTAGCATAGGTTTCTCTGTTCCTGTGCCGTGTGTAATCACTTTTTGCATTTGACATCCATGTATTTCTCAAATAAGCTAGAAAAAAATCCATGTATGCTGGAGCAAAATAGCAGCAGTGAGCAACCTGTTGCAGGGCGGTATTGTCTTGAATTCCCTCAGGGAAAAGCGGACAATTATTTTTATGGCTACAGAATTTTGAATAATCTGTTTTTAGGTAATGCCTAATTTTCAGAAGGTGTAGAACTTCATCTTAAAACATTCAAATTATAAAACAATTTTAGAAAAAGAAATCTTATTCAGCAAGGAAACACTTTTCTTACTAGATGCATCTGCAGAGTGAAGTAGTAGTTGTTATGGGATAATAAATTATACAGAAAGCTGTGTGACTCTATGAAATGCTGCCTATCACTTTGAGTATGGAGCCAGCAAATTACAAGGCCAAATCTTCACGAGAAGAGCGTGTCTTTTGGGGGTTGCTTGTTCGTTGGCTCTTCCTAAAGAGGTGATTTCTCTCTCTCCTTCAGGACATCCTAAACACTGTCATAAAGCATTGCTCGCCTGCATTTTTCTTCCTGGGCTTGCCCGGCTTTACGATGCTGATGGGAGACTTCATCACGGCCGCGGCCAGAGTGCTCGGGGCGGACACGCCGCAGGTGAGTGCGGCCGCGCCGGGCGTCCCCGCTCCCCGGGCGCGCGCGGCTGCTCCCGGGCCTCGGATTTCCACACTCCAACAGGTGTGTGCTCATTAGTGCAACGTGAAGCCCGGCTCTCAGGGCAGCCACCATGGCAGCTGATGTGTGAAACTGTAGATAAGGTGACGGGCTAGGATTGCAAAGGTGTTTCATCAAAAGGCCCAAGTGCAAGAAATGGTATCCTCGCTAACAGCGCGCTGCGTTTGCACACCAAAAGCACGACTTGCGTTTCAGAATCTCATTACCATTTTTTCAGTAAGCAGATATTGAAAATATGGAGGGTTTTAGCAGTCCAGGCTTTCTTACCAAGTATCAGCACTCCTAGAAATGTATTTATAAATCCATTAAATTGATGAAGGAATAGTAAAATACCAAATTAACAATGGATAGCAAAATCAGTGTGAAGATCCTGGAAAAAATAAAAAGCAGGAGACCTTTTCTCTATATGAAATTGCAGTTCAGGAGAGCGCTTCCTGCATATCCTGGCCTTGTGTTCCTAGAGTTGTTCCTGGATTTCCAG